CGGTATGGGATGTGCAGAAGGCAGCTGATACATGTTTCTCTCTCATCGATGTTTCTAGCTTTCTATCTCTCTCCCTTCCTCTCTGTAAAAAATCAATAAAATATATTTAAAAAAAGAAAATATTCTTGAGATGGTTATCAGAAACATCATTACATTGGCACAAATGATAAACTTCTCCTACGCACCAGTTTACGAGTTAATATGACAATCTGAATATTCTCTAGTGTTTTCAGACTAAATTGAAGCAAGTGTTGATATTATGATACTGCAGTGAATAATCCCATCATATATTTGTGGCTAAAATACATGAAGCAGTGAAGAATTGGGCCCACATAGGCATTTCTGGCTGAACTGAGAGCCCTCGTGGATGTGTGTGTGTGGGAACAGACATTTCATCTGATCACAAGATGAAACCAGGGCAGTTGGAAGCTGCTGTGTTTCCAGGCAGTAATGCTCTGTTTGAAAGCCTTCTTTTTGTGTAAGAACAGGGGCCACAGCTCTCTGCAGACCAGCCGGTAATTAGCAAGAGGTCTCTGCTTCTTTGGCATTCTCATTGTTTCCCAATTACGATATTTTGGGGAACAACATCATACAACTAATCTCGATGTAGTTTTCTGTTACTTCAGAGAAATCTTTCTAATATTTAGAAGGAGGAAGTTTGTGGGCTCTCTCACCTCTAGCCCCCACCTTTCCTTTATAGATGTGGAAATGGGGGAACATAGAAGTGAAGGGATTTGCCCAAGATGAAACAGAACATCTGTGACAGGACTGGGGCTCCCCAACTCTCTATTAGGCCACTGAGGCGTTACCATGCCATGCTAATGGGGTCCTACACTTGGGTGTCCCATGCTGGGACTCGGAGTAAGTCTGTGGATGAACCTGGAGGAATATGTTTGTTATACAGACACAATGAAGTTACTCTTTACATGACTCCCAATCATTTACCACCCTGATTACCACTGTCCTGAGCTTGCTTTTGCAGCTGATGCCAATCCAAGCAGACTTTAGGTAAGAAAAAGAATCCCTTGGCAATAGATTTGCATGGCGTTTTGGCAAACAACTGATATTCCTAGCCACTGGCCACTAGAGCCTATGGTTAGCTCCTCTTCCCAGCTCTGGGTTCAGTGACGTCACGTTAGTAGCCTGAAGTCTGCCATAGTGGGAAGATTTCCACCACAGATATTGGCAAACACTCCAAATCAGGGCATTATTCCTCATCCCCCAATTAATGAGTTTTAAATATTTACTAGCATTCCATTAAAGGATGAAAAATATCAGAAAGTATTATTATTAAAACTAACACATGATCTATTAGATAAGAGATGTCTACCTTTTTGCCCCCCCGCTCCCCCTCCCCCACGCAAAGGAATATTTACATTGTGATCTCAGACTGTAAGTAAAAGAGGGAAACTTGGGGTCCTGCCAAAGAAATGGGCTTTTTTTGATTGCTAGGAGCAACACTATATTAGGATAATTCCTCTTTACTTGTTTTCTAATTAAACTAATTGAATTCAGAGTGTCTAGGGGAAGCATAAGAGACATTTATCTCGAGGGGATGATGGCCTTGAAGCCAGTCAATCCTCTTAAGATTGTAAGAGGACAAATCCAGGGATGCCCACTTTGTAACAGCCTTCACCCCACCCCCACCCAGAGTTTAGCCATCTTCAGGATTCTTCTCTCCTATTTTATTTTATTTTTTTGGAAAAAAATTAGGGAGCCCATTCTCATAGTTTCACAGCACCCTATGGTGGCCCTTATTATTACAATACTTTATTTCCCATATCACCCAAATTCAATACACCCCCTTGGCTCTATTTCTGGACTATTTCTCATATCTGGACACTCTTCTCCACCTCCGCCACATTGCAGGTCATCGGCCTATCTTGCTCGGACGGATTACTGACTTAGCCTTCTAACTGGTCCCCTTCCTGCTACTTTTAGCTCCCTGCTCTCCACTCCACTCAGCAGCCAGATAATCTTTCAAAAATATAAATCAGATCATGCCAGGCCCTGCATAAAACCCTTCACAGGCTTACTCTTTTTTACACTTAGGATAAGATCCAAACTCCATGCCCTGCTCTATAACACTTACCCCTTCCCCATTTCTCAAGTAGCCTCATTGAGCACTTGTGGCCACTCTCCTATCTGCCCTGACTTGCTCATGAGTTACAGCCACCTTGGCCTTTTTTCTCTTCTTGAACTCCTCCAGGCCCCTTCCTGCCTCCGGACCTTTGCACAGACTGTTCTCACTCCCTGAAATGCCTGCCCCCAAATGTATACATGATTCTTCTTGTAATTTTATTTTTCTCATAGTACCTTCCACTCTCCAAAACTAATTTATTATTATTGATTACTTGTTTGTTACCCATCTACCTTCACTAGAATCTAAGCTGCATGAGATTGGAACTTTTCTATTGGCATCCAGAATATATGTTGCACAGAGTCATGGTTGATTTAATGAATAACTGCAAGGACCTCTATTTTACAGATGAGGAGACAGGTTAAGTAACTTGTCTAATTTCACACTGCCATTAATTAACACAAGGGCACATTTTTTTTTCACATTCCTATAGTCAGTCATCAAGATTAATTCTTTCCCAGGTGTTTGGAAAATGTCAAACTGTTTTGCTTTCCTTCCCAAATAGTCCACCGAAATCATTTGATAGTTCACAGAAATCATTTGTTTTCAAAAGCCAGTTCCATCTGCTCCGGTCTTGTTAGCATCAGCGCTGGCTGGGGTCTCCTTCTCTGCCTTTGATGTGAGTTTTCCTGGAATGAGGAGTCCAGCGCACACAGGCCCCCCCCTCCTCTCTGAGCGGGAAGCACCTTGTAGGGAATGCTGTTCTTCTTCCAAAGTGGCTCCTGCAAGTCTACTTCAGGCTAATAGCTTTAGTTTACTTTTACAGTTGACAGCAATTTTATAGACATTTGTTTGTCAATTTTTATTGTACTTTCTCCTTTGATCCCTTAATCCCTAAAAATGCTGACCTTATATGTCCTGACCCAACTAATTAGCCCCATTTACCCTCCAGATGCTTTAATAAGGCTGTCAGGATGCTCCTATGAAGGGTCTTCATTCAAACGTCAGAAGCTTACCACACTTACTGCGGGGTTAGCATCCTAAGTTAAAGGAATGAGCTTTAAAGAAATACAACTTGGAAATGTTTAAAGGTTTTCTGACATGACATAAGAGAATGAGCAAGCATCACTTGGTACACTCATGCTATCATTCCACAGCTCCAGGAATTAGACATTATCTAAGAATGATGCCGTCAGTTCACAGGTGAAGTTCTAACAACATAGTATAGTGTCCCAAGGATAGCAGCACTTTAGGGCAAAGAAGCTAAACTTGGGTACCTGTGGATTTGTTGTACTTATATTTCTAGTTTTGGTAAGGTTTGGACTTTTCCATAGTAAAGGTTGGTGTTTTTTTGTTTGTTTGTTTTCTTAAGGCAAACATTTTACAAGATTTCTAAATGTGAATTTAATTTGTACAATACCTAATTTTATAACATTCTCCAAACATAATTTTTTCAAAGGTACTCCCCCATTCAATCTTGGCTGACGAAATCGGACAGACAAAAAGTGTCAGGACCCTTTTTTCTTGCATTGGCACTGGAACCTTAGTAGCAACTCCAAGCATAATTTTTGTAGTTCCCCAAATTGCTCTTT